CGATTTGATTCCTGAGCCTTTGAGCAGCGGCGACCTATTCACAGAACTGGACCACAGTGTGCAACGCATTCCCATGCCCGTTCTCGTCTCCCGCTTGTGCGGCGAGGCACGTGCGCACACCTGGTTCCATGATGCCGCACCATTCCTACGACATGCCGTGCCGGTTCAGCCCAATGTCGTGCCAGCTCGGACCATAGGTGAGCTCGTGCGGTCTGTGATTTCAGGCAGCTGCTGTTGGCTGATTGTATGGGATGACTTGCCAATGCCGGATCATCTAAAGGTGATGAAGTAAAGTTTGTCTAAATTGCAACAGTCTTTTTGCAACAGACTTTGTTTTGAACAGTAGACTTGGACCAAACACCCTCCAGTTTTGGGACTTCAAGCTTTCCTTGCCGTTGTACCTTTGAAAACCGCCGCTTCAAGAGTTGGGTAAACGTTGCAACTGCCCTTGCTGCTGAGGACTTGCTGCGCTTTTCCAGAAAGACATTGCTACAGAGAGTCGCAGCCTTGAAGGAATCCAGCAACACTGGGTGCGGCAGAGAAATTGAATCTTATGACCGGTATGACAGAGACATAGGGGTTTCAGAAGGGCGCCAGGTTCTTGCTCTGAGCGAGCACTTTGAGAGCCCTAATGCACGAAGATGCTGGTGGTTGGCAACTTGCTCAGTCAGACTTCTGCTCTGCACCCCTCACCGATGGTTTGTCAAACCCCATCACCCTACCCAGTACGGAAGATGCTTGAAACCCCGCATTTCGCGACCCAAAGGATTCCGACGGGAAGTGCTTGTGCTTGCATGAGATGCCATACCGGATTTCGACCTTGCTCCGCTATATTGGCCATGCGAGTGGCAAAATCTTCAGATCATGGCAAGGTCATATTCTTGAAGCTTCTGCCGATGTTGAGATGGCAATACTGTTGAAAGTTCCCAACACTTCAAGCTGTGCATCCATGTAGATGCTCCGACCCATAGGTCCTGCAAGCTACCGAGGCTACCCTGCGCGCTCTGGCCATGCAGCTTGGTCAGGCGGCTTCAATGCAACTGACAATTTGTATTTGGAAATTGAGCCTTCCATGCGCCGACCCACTGCGAGTCTGGGAGGAAGATGTCGAACGCACCGCTCAGGATTTTGCGGCTGCCGCCTGAGCTTTCTCATCCTTGCTTGAACCAGTCTTGTTCCTGACGCCAGCTAGATTCTAGGTGATACTTGAATGTAATGCTTGGATGTAATGGGGTGGTGGCCGCTTTGCCTCCTTGGCACGCAACATCGTGAGCCTGTGCGCTAGGCAGCGGACACTGAAGAGTTTCAAAGCTACCGCAGTTCCTGTGTTTCCAGGCTTTGGACTACAAAGGCATGAGTCTGCTTTCGCTTCAAGATCTTGAGGACTCTAGTGTTGTGGATGGACGCTTTATGCTTTGAGCGTTTCAGGATCCAGAAGACCCAGGTTCTGATTTTCCTCACAGGGCCAGAAAACATGCATCACAGGCCTTTGTGGGATGCCAGTATTAAGCCAGAACTGCTTCTCGAGTGAAGGGCTAGAATGGAACGTGAGGCAGCAGAGTAAACAAGTGAGGATCACTGGAACCAAAATGTTGCGGGCTGCTGCAGATTGGACACCCCAATATAACCCTAATATATACCCTAATATGTACCCTATAATCCCTATATAACCCACATATAATCCCTGTAGTTTTCATTTTCTTTTCCATTATCCCTATATAACCCCAATATAACCCTAACTTCACACAAGGACCTGTTCTTAGCACTGACCGATCAGAGTATCTAATGCTTCGGCGCGGCTCCTTCTTTGACCACAGTACTTTGGAGATTCAATAGGGACAATGGAAAATAAAATGGAAACTACCATAATGGGGATTATATAGGGATTATAGGGTATATATTGGGGGTTATATAGGGATAATGGAAAATAAAATGGAAACTACTATAGTATATTGGGGTTATAATAGGGTTAATATTGGGGTAATATAGGGATAATGGAAAATCTAAGCATCTAGTCGTACATTGGACATCTTTTCAAGACCAACTCCATCCGCACATGATGTGCCTAGTTAACGTCTGCAATCAAGACTTCGCTGGGCACGGTTTTAGCTGCATACCATCACATCTTCAATTCTGGGCTGGCCTGTTTCACCTATGGGTAGCCGAAGGGGACTTCAAGTTTTCTGTTTGCTGTCAGGAGCTTTTAGAGATGCCGGACCTGGAGGTCTTCCACCATCAACTTCAGCAGGTGGACCCTGTGTCAGTGCTTCAGTGTAGTTGAACAGACAGAACTCGCTCAGCCTCAGAGGGCGAGAACCATTAGATGAGTTCATCTGGATAATCTTCTCCGACGGCTAGCATTTGCTGACTCAAGCCGGAGCATGAGCAAGCCGGGACCATCAGAAGCAGGTGTCGTTCCGTCGATGACAGATGCAGCAGGCAAAATGCCAAAGAGTATGTAAACGTCGAGTAAGAGTCGATGATGCCTGCGGGTCTTCCCTTGTATGGCTGCACTGATGCGTAGCACCGATTTATGTGCTCCAAGTGTCCATTGGAGAAAGGCCAAAGGTGCGGAGGAACAAGGAAACCAATCCTTTTCACTTGATGACGACCCCCTGAGTAGATCCTTGGGTGGCCATGGCATCTCCAAAGGAGCGAGGCACCCAGAATCTGACAAGGTGAGCAGATGCGGCCCCAAACAGCAATTGAACTGCACGTTTCCTGGAGTGGAGTGGCGGAGTTTCCCATGGTCAGCAAAATTGTGAGGCAATTTTGAAGAAATACCCGCGGAGCAAGCGCTCCTCGCTAAGTAAAAGGACGTGGCTTGTAAACTCTTTGTTTCTGCTCGTTTTGGTCCCGTTTCAGACACTGAGCGCCTCACAAAGACTTGGCCAAAATGACACCCATCGAAACGAGGCCAGAGCTCGCATTCACTGGGCCGGCTGTGGGAAGTTGCAGCCCCTGCTGGCTTGAGATGCGTCTGTTGGAGACTGTAATGCTTTCCAGCGTCATTTCTGCATCTTTGCTACTGGCCGCAAAACGTTTTGCGGCTTTTGCCCGCTGATGAGGTCATCCACCACCACTCTCACCTCATTTGGGCGTTGGGGCAAAGGACCTCCATCTGCCGCATGAGGCCAACGGCGTTTTGCTGACCTGTTGATGCACTAAGTGCCCCAAAGCAGGATCGTGACAGCATAAGGCAGCACACTCTCGGCATGCTACAGTATGCCTGATGTGATCCGAAGCCCTTTCCCAGCACCAGCATCGCTTTCTCTGGTGACAGGTTTTTGCTCCTTCCTTTTCGACCATGTTTCGACCACAAACAATAAATAAGCAGCCAGTACTGTGCAGTTGCCAAACAATTCGATGCATCATCCTCTCTTTTTGCTCCTTGGGCGCAGGTTGCGGAGGAGCTACTCCCAGGCAAAGCAGATGGGGGCTGCTTTTTTGAGCAATTCAGCTGCTATGTCACACGGGCGACAGTACTGACCCAACCTCTGTTACTTAGCACACGCAGCTGGCAGTCTGCATGCACCTCATCAGTGCACAGGCGCTCCAACACGTAGGAAGCCAGCTTTCAAAACTGGAGCTTCGCAATTGTCAGTTCTTGAGACGTATCAGATATCCGCGTGGAGAAGAGGTGCCGTGGCAATCCGCCGCCTGCACAACTGGATTCCACTGTTCATTCTGATGATCGGCTTAGTATGTCCGGCCATGGCCTTGGAAAAGGGAAATGGATGGATATCCCGGATCAGGGCGGTATCGCCTTTCCAGTGAGACAATGCGAGCCATGCTACGCTTTGCATCATGCAAGACATGCAGTTGGCTCTCCCTCCAGCCCAGTTCATCGCGCTGCAGAAAAAGTTGCTGCCGAAGCCCATTGCAAAGGCAGGGACCGCTCCTATGCAAAGTCTAACGACGGTATGTGTTGAGCTCACCTGTCACACTTCTATCTTGTGCGTTGGGATTGTTGGAGAGCTGCAGACACGAAACACATAATAACACTGCAACATGGTCAGAACGACGTATTGTAAGTGTACAGTATCAGGACTTACGAGGTTCTCGCCAGGTCTGGAAGCTGTAACTGACAACTGACGCATGTCAGAACGATTTGGCAGCGGGCAGGTCCTGTGCCGGATTTATTTCTGGCCCACGATCGGCCTCACCCTGCTCCGGAGCTGGTCGCAGGGGCGTGGCCTTTGGTGCCAGGCCCGATCAACGGCCTTCATCAGTCTTGTGTATCCAGTGCTAGACTCAATCCTAGACATTGAAGCTAGTGCGCCATACTGCGTCATACACCTCCAAGGGCAGGTGATTCGGCAGTAAAGGCTGGAATGGGACGTGGGACATGCAAGCTGTGGTGCTCAATCAATGGTCACCACAAGCCAGCACACGTATATTCAGACGTGTCACCTTCATATCATATCAGTCTGGACTTCGCGGGATACGCAGCCAATGAAATCTGAAAGTCGCACCAGGTGGATGACACCCTTCTTCTAGGCATCGTGCGCCAGCTGTCCTTTCGGACTGATGTGTTTGCAAGGGCCATGGATGACCGTTTACATGGTGTCCCACGTGATCATGCTTGCGGATTTGCAGAACGAGCTGTTGCCCCTTTACTCTGGGTTGATGTCGCCGCCGTGGTATCAGTTCCAATTGCATGGGCAAAGAGATGTGAGCCATGATAAGTGAATGACTTGTGGGAGTGCAACCCCAGCCCACACAACTCAACAGAGCCATTGTAGATTGAGTCGCGCGGGCAAGTCTAACATGCTGCTAATCTGTACGCGTGGCCGCCAAGCTGTACTCAGTCTCATGACTACGCTTGTGTTCTTACCAGTCAGCCACTCCACCTTCACAAATCCAAAGTCGTCCAACGGAGTTGTAGGGATGGCCGAGCTTTAGGCTTATGATGGCTGCGGTTTGGTGCCCGTCGGCTGTGGCATGATGGGCCAGCTTGTGGAGAGAAGCTTCATGCTTGAGGTGAGCTTGTAAGGGCCATGTTGCTGCTCGGGGCACTGGCCACGGTATTTGGCCTGGCGCTGTCCCGAAGCCGGGAAGTAGCTGACCTCGCTAGCAGCATTTTCGGGTCCTTCGTCGCTGTGACAGGCGACGCTCACCAGGCCAAAGTTGCACAGGACATATTCCGCCAGCAGGTTCGATATGAACGGTCCATTCAGATCAGGGAGGACATGCGCGATGTCAACAAACTGATGATGGAGAGTGTCCAGACTCATGTTATCATGGGCAGCATCATCCTCGGGGTTTGTTGGACCATGTGTATTGAAGGCTTTCCGCCAGAAGATGCTGAGCGTGCTGTGGTGGGTCTGTGGCTGGTATTCACCTGCTGGTCTGTCACTTACACGCTCATTGCTCTTTGGCTGGCGCTACGCTTTCAGATGAAGATGTCCTCTAGTGCTAGAGACCGGCTGCTCCGACGCCACCGGCTGATGGTGCCTGATGACCTTGTTGTTGGCCGCATGGGTGGCCACAACGTGGTTAACCAAGTTGCAAACTTCCACAGCTGGATGCTTACAGCCATCAACAATCTCACCTCCACAGATGCCAACGTGGAAGATGACAGTGCCATCCGTGTCCGCGGTCGGCGCCATCTAGGTCTTCGTGTGCATGTGGAACCGAGAGAGGGTTCTGTTGACCTCGAGCCGCTGCGAAAGGGTATGCACGCTTGGCTGCATCCGGAAGGGGATGGCTGGTCTCATCACACGCTCCTGGACATTCCTTTTTTCCTGATAGGGGAGACTCTGATCCGCAGCCCTTGGACTTTTAGTGGTGAGAGACCGTTGGCCTTTCGTGTCTATGGCGAGGCCACTCTGTATGTTGCAGCCCAATGCCCACCGCTGCGTACGCAAAACAAGCAGAAAACCGAGCCGTCAACCAACAACCACGGCCTGAAGAAGGCGCTTTGGTTAGCAGGACAAGTCCCTGACTGGCCTGCAGACGAACTTCCGCTAGCAACGCAGGGCTTCCATGAGGACTGGGCAGGCGAGAGTGGCTATGGGGAGTTCCGACGCGTGGAGGGCTTCTCCATGTACGTGGATCGCAATGACATCGAAATGCCGCTGTACAAGTCTCCAGTACAGAGAAATCTGCATCATTTACTTTGGCTTCAGTTTGGGGCTTCAGGTTTTATTTATGGAACGTCAAGCAACCCTATTGTTTGGTAAGCTCGCATGCTGTGCAGCCAAGGTTGGTTCTGGCGAATCCAATTAAGCACGGTAACTACGTAGACGTGGTCGTCAACTGGAACTTCAAAGCGGGCTGCGAAGCGTTGGTCGTGGTCGTGCGGACGTCGGCCTAAAATAGGTTTCCAGGGAAGAAGTACAGCTGTAAAAGTCTCTTTACAAAACTGCAAGAGCGGAAGTTCACGCTCAAGGGTTCGCCGCCTCCCCTACTGGTTTGTTCAGTGCACATGCTGGGAATATTGCGACAAATGCACGAGTCAATGCGATTGGGTGGTAGCATTGAGAAGTGAGGCTTGCGTGGAGCAGACCTACGCCTTGTCCACTGGTCTAAAGATAGTTATCTTACAGTAGCAGTCCCAGATTCCTGTGCAGGAAGCGCGCATGCATAGGCTAGCATTTGAGGGAGGGGAACTGCGGCAGCAGACACGAGCAGCCCTGCCTGCCTAGATCCCCAGTCGCAACCAATGCCTTGAAAATCTAAGCCCTCACGCGAAGCTGAGGAAAGGGCAGGTTCACTGCCGCTTGGATGTCTTCAGCGATTGAGGTTCAAAACTTCTTAGACAGACTATGCTAAGATAGTTGCTCCCTCCTAGTCGGGTTGAGCGGCCGGAGGCTTCATCCAGCATCAGTGCACAGGGTTTGTTACTAGTGTAGGCAAGTAAGCTGGGTTGTACGTCGTGGCGCGGGTTCTTTGTGTGTGGCCTGCTATGCGTTGCTCTTGGCCCCCACAGGTCTAGAAATAAACGTCGTACTCGAACCTTCCGGCTTTGGACAGCAGACTCCTCCAAAGTGGATTAAATGGGATTTGCAAGGTAAAGAGGAGGACTGGCCCCTGGCTGAGTTCAACACGGAGGTGAAGGAGGTAGGGCACCTGTAACAATGGTCGCGTCGGAGGGCTACATCTCACTTCCATTTTGCAGAAATGGTACAGTATCGGATGGTCCACCTGGCCGACTAAGGTCTTAAACCTTCGGCATTACTCAGGGCTGTACCTGCGCCACGGGACCAGCTGTTTGGTCATGGCCTGTTGCACCTGGGAGGATATGTTCTCAATCTTTTGGTTTGACAGGTGCCTTGTGAGGAACGGTGAATCTCTCGGCTGGCCGTTTAGCATGAGGCTTGTTCAGTCAGAGAAGGCAGCATCGAGCCCCAGCTGCCACTCCCAGCCCACAGGCCACCAACAGAAGCGGGTAGCCAGCTTATCCGCAAAATGGAGCCCAGGCGTCCTGTACCTGGCCCGCATGAGCGTCTTGCTTCAGACTGAAAGAAACCTGGCTGTATCAAGGAGCTGTGAACTTCAAAGCCCTTGTGGCTTGTACATCATGTTGGGTAGGCGCGAGAAGCCAGTCCCCTTTGTCACATGAGCATACTATGTTCCCACGGCATACCTTGCACAAGACAAGGATTCTGGTGGTACGAAACTACGCTGGTGGTGATTGCCATGGTGCCATCGATATTTGCCATACGCCTCTCGAAGACAGAGCCAAGAACAGGGATCATGCTCTTACTAGAGATGGCTGTGTGCGTGTGTCGCTTCGCTTAGGGAGTGGTCTAACAAGTGCATGGTCTAACAAGTGCATGTGTGCTTCTAGAGCAGATTCCAGGGCAGACTGAGGCATCATGCCATTGGATGTCTGGGAGAAAGAGACGGTACTCAGCGAGGTTGGGCGTAACCAGTCGGCGAAGAATCTGGACGAGGTAAACGCTGCTCGTGCAATGCCCTGGAATGCACTACATGTACTAGGGACCTTATGTAGTGCAAGCTACTGCAAGCTTCAACGGTGATACTTCTCAAATGTTGCACTTGCCTAGAAACCCTCAAGATCCTGAAAACTGATGCTGGATACATGATGTCGTAGGGCCCATGGGCGGGAGAACAAGCTGAGGTTGTTTCGCCACAAGCGACACCTGTGCATGCACAGCATGCGAATAGCGAGCCACAGTTTGGGATGCAACTTCCGCGGCCTGAGCTGACAGATTCTTGGCAAGATTATGACTCCGTGAAGCACTGTGAGGCTCTCCTTCAGATGAAGACACTCCACTTTGCCGTTGGAAATGGCTGACATGCTGACTGCTTTCAGTTGGTCTTCACAAGTATCTTGCTGAGCTTAGGATAGCAGAGACCCGGCATTTGCTTTTACACCATCCCCTGAAGCTGGCGAGTCTAACGCGGTGCTGCAGGGTCCCGCGAGGGTGCTGCTGCAACAGCGCGACGCAGAACAGGCCTTGCCATCTCTGGCAGTTTCAAGCCCCAGCGAGCTGAGAGGAGCACAGGGTGCTGGCACCGCTGCTTCCAGGTCGCAGTCAGCTCCGGCTCGGACCAGGGAGGTGAGGTCTTTGGGCATACGTGGGTGCTGCACAGACATTCAAAGCCGCTTGGAAAACTGCCAAGTTGTGGCTCACGACAGCGAGCGGCATACAATTCGGAACCTGCGGCAGCAGGCGCCGCCACCGCCGCAGCCGCTCTCTGATGCCGGCTTGTCCCCAGATGCCGAGCTCACAACGCGCCATCCTTCCCACCCCTCAAGGCTTCGAATAGCCACGGAAGAGCTTGGTGCGAAGGATGCAGCAGCCAAGGAAGATCCTTTCCACTTGGATGCCCAGGCCCAATATTAGAAGAACACGTTGTGTGTAGAGATGTGTAGAGTTTCTTCGCATGCATGGGCTGAATTCCCAGGGTGAAAACATGTTTTACCAACGGAGCGACGCACCTGAAGCCCGGAAAGTAAACAGGAGAAGGCGACTTCCAGCAAGCGAAGGTGCAGCTGGTTCAGATCTTTGTGGCAAGTGCCGAAGACTGGTACCTCGGCTGCGGCTCGTGTACCAACGCTTTTGGCATTTGGTGTTTTACCATGATTTGCCGCAGTGGCAAAATGGTAACATCCGAAATGCCTCAAGGGCTGTATACCGCGACGTCCCAAACGATCCTTGTGCTCCCTTTCGCAGTTGACCCTATTTCCTGGCCGCTCACCTCGTAAGAAAACTGCAGGTCGGCAGCAAAAGCAAGTACGTCCTGCTAACTTCACAAACGTATACGCTGCAGGAGTAATGAGAGCAATCGGAAAGAACAAGCACAAAATAGCCGTCGTAGCATAAGGTGCTAGGCACCAATGAAGAGGTCAGTACTTAAGATTCGACTATGCGAGACACTGTCTCACTGAGACTTTCAGGACAAAATCTTTACATTGGCACCGTGTTGCTGGAATTCCTGTTGGCGCTGTCATCGGTTGCTTGGCTGCATTTGTCAGGCCAGGCTGCAATTGGCAACAAACATTTGCCGTGATGGGCTGGTTGAATGCATGCTTTGCAGTACACCTGCGCTCTGTGCCAAGGTATCGGTGCTGATCGCGAGGCTGCCGTACGGATCTGAATTGGAGACGTCCAATTTGGAATGGAGGCAGCTGCCCGTGTCCTGGCCTGCGCTTTTTCGACCGACCGCTGTGAGCCTTGGCCAGCCCTTTGATTTGTGCACCCGTTTTGATTGGGAGCAGCAACAACAAATTCATAAAGCTCGGGTTCTGGGGCCTCATGCCCCGGCCCCTTCCCCCAAGCGCCGCAATTGAAATCAGTGAGCTTCCTCCCCCATCAATTTCCAGGCCTATGGAAAGCAGTTTTGCCATTATGGGGGTTGCTTATTCGAAAGAGGTGATGATGCAAAAAGCCCAGGCTCAGTGAGGATCTGCTGCACGTGGCAGCCGGTCCAGTTCTGCGTTCCTTCGCCAACGGGGGCAATTGGGGGCAAAGGGGAGCGCCGGTCCTCCTGCCGAGTCACGCTAGAGGGCTCGGAGTCTGGGCAAACCAGTATGTTGTTTTGGGCACCGATGGGCTCCATCTGTTCCAAGACACGGTCATGACCCCGCAGTCGCAAACAGTGCGCGCGGAACCACTTGACCTCCTGGAGATGCCAGGCAGCATCAATGGTACCTACATCGCGTATCCGTCCAAGATGCCAGCAGCAACTGCCGGAACGGTTGCTGCGGTATCCGGAAGTAATTCTGTTATGGCTGTTCTGCTGGTGGCTTCCGACGAAGTCCAGCTGTGCCGGATGGCCAACCAGAGCGGGATCATCTCCTTGACCTTTGTAGCGAACCTCAAGCCAGTGGGCGAATCCTTGAGCCAGATCACGGGCCTCTATATGTGCCCGGAGGGGCAGTGTGCTTCTCAGGCTGTCTTGTGGGTGGCCATGTCCAAGGGAAAGCTGGCAGCCATTGGCTTCGCTACTGGCAAGGCAGGCTGTTCGAAATACACAAAGGACTGCTTGCACTGCTTGCATGTCTTCGTGGGCAGTTTTTGAGGTGCTGGCCACATTTCCAGCTTCTTCCAGTCCGTCGGTGGCTACAACCATGCTCGTGTCTGGGAACAGTAGCCCGCTCCAACTTTCGCATCAGTCAGCACTCGAAGGTATGTGCAGGTTCTGGACCTGTATTTAGATAACAGACAGGGATTGGCCGCAGTGTCCTACCGTGTCAGATTTCTACTGCGATTAAGGCACTCACCTCATTCTCGTGGCGGTCAGCGAGGGCGCCACACCCGCAGCCTTCTCCCTTCCCTACCCGTTTCTAGCAGAGGTCTAGCCAGTGCAAACGCACATCTTGCACGCCCATTGCAGGAGCTTTAAAGCCACTCCTCATAAACGCCCCAAGCCACAAACTCAGCGGGCTACTGCAGAAGTAATCAGGCAAAGCTTCCTGCATAATTAGAGGGCAATGATAACCCCCATTCCTTCTGACACTCTGGGGCAGCTCTGCCGCAGAACAGCGGGTTCTGTCTTGTATCACCGACCGTCTGCCAAAAGGCAACACAGTAGACACGTTTCACGACCATGCCTGGGAGCCAATACTTCTAGTAGTGTGGGCAAGGGTAGCTGAGAACTGCTGGCTTTTGTGAGCGATGCCCTTCTGGCACCTCCGGGCGGACTGGACACGGTTCCCAGGCCCACAATACGCAAGAACGTTTTTCCCAACAATTCGTGCCGACGTTTAGAGGGCCCTCGAAGGCCCCTGGTAGGTAGCTCAAGAGCGCCGGGACTCCCCAGCCACCTCCTGCAGGTACCTTCGGAAGTCGAATATTTTCTCTAGACAACATGACCGTAACTCTACTAGAGATGGCGCATAAACTGGCCTTCCGAAGAACGGCAAGGTACCTGCAAGGGTGCTGAGATGCCAGAAAGGACACAAGCAAACAGCGCAATACCAGCGATAAAAACGGCCTGTCTGCTGAAGGCCTTAACAATTGGAACCTTGCATGAAGCGAGCACACTGCACTTCTCACAGGTCCCCAGTGGGCTAGATGTTTCCCAAAGTGTGGGCCGCGGAACAGGTGTAGCGCCTTTGGCCGCTTTGCGGCACCCTGCACAACTGCAGGCCTGCACACATGTCAGCGCTTCAAAGCAAGTCAGAGCCGGCTTCGGAATCTTTGGAAATCTTCTGCGCTTTAAGTTTAGCAGCTTCTAACATTGTAAGTCTACGGCTTCTTGCGCGACGAGTGCGGTCACGCTTGGTGTTGGGGTGTGAACAAACCCCATGCCTGCAGCCACAGGCGTTGGGCGTGCGCGGTGTTGTCAACATGTGTGACGAGTATTCTGGGCCGCAGGCCTTGGGCTTGGCTGCTTCTTCAGCGTGACTGGCTTGCAAGCGTTTTGAACGCAAACAACCCGGATAGTGGTGATCTGAAATTTTGAGCTGATCGTCGGGAACTCTGACTGTGGAGGCGGCCTACGACCGTTTGGGGATAACACAGCTGCGTTTGCCTACGGTGGACCACTGCGAGCCTTCCCTGGAGGATTTGTTCAAGGCCCCGCGGGCTGGAGAGCAAGCAGTGTGCACACTGTAGTGAAAAAGAATCCTAGACCACCATTTTCATATGCAGCGCAAGTACCGCCTCAAGGGCACTTGAAGATTGAGACGTCTGCTCGGACTCTGGGACGTCACACGCGCCTCCACATAATCAATCTTCGGCACATCCCCTTTGTCCCATCGCCTGTGTCAGGCTGTTGCTTTCATCGACAAGTTTAAGAGAAGTGGACACAAAGTCTATGTCCACTGCAAAGTCGAGTTCTCAGATATTCGGGCAGACTCGGTGAGCATGCTTTGCAGCCAGAGCCGGCAACAATTTCACGGTGCGCAGGTGTAGGCCAAACTTCCTTCTAAGTGCTACTTCCAAAGATTGCTAGAAGAAGAAACTTTTGGCAAGCTCCGGTACTTCTGCAGGCGGGTCATGGCCGTGCTGCTGCCACGCCTTCAGCTGCCATGCACTTCCTTGAGTGGGTTCTGCGGATGCTGTTTAGGAGGTTGTTTTTCTGAAGCTTCCTGCAACACTCTGGAAGCCTCTGGGATGTTCCGCGAGGGCGCCATGTTCTAAAGCCTGTCCTAGAGCCTGAGGCAGTGGCACTGTCCTGGATGATCTTCACCAGCGAAGCATGTTCGGAGGCTGCTTGCTTGTTCCAACAGAAACCGTAGCCGAGCGCCAGTGGCACAGCTGGCTGCAACCAACCAGTAAACACACAAACAGGAGGGTTGTTCCTCTCCTGGTCGTTGTTCATGCATAGTGCCTAGAAATAGAGCCATGATGAGACCCTTCTGAGGTGTAGAGCATGACTGCATTACATTTTTGGCAGGAAAATGCGCGGGAGCTGAACTTGAAGCTGGCCCAGAAGCGCCGCGTGCGCGGAGGTTTGTACAGGTCCTCTCTTGGTGCAGATGGGGACTCAATCCAGACGTATACACTCATCAGTCCAGGAGTTGTAGTCTGCAGTTCTCGTGGACCATGCCCTACACTACTGTACTGTACTCCCTCCACGGTATATAGTATCCATCTACACACCGCGCACAATCTCTTCCCTGCAGTCAAAAGACTCCTGGTGCAGGGGTAGGCAGTCCGTTTTCTCTGGCGCCTGCCAGGCAAGAGAATGTCCGCGCTTTCATGGCAAAGTTTGGAGCCACAGGCCCCCTGTTTGCAGCAAGCATTCCGTTCAGAGTTGTTGTGTTTAGTCGACAACTTTATATTAAAGGCATACGCTCCAAAATATTCAGACAGATGCATATGCCCACACATGTGCGCCAACTCCCTCACCTCCATGAGAGGGTTGCTCTAGAGGTAGTTGTCTTCCGGGTATACTATGGGTGACCATTCAAGAAACAGCCTCCCGCAAAACTATCGTGAAGCAGTACGCTAAAGGACAACGCTTATCGCAATAGTTGGCAATTTTCTGGAGAAGCAATCTTGAGCAATTGCCATGTGCATGAGCATCGCAGTCATTGGCCTCCCTGCTTTCGAGGACCAGAGCTCATCAACAAGCTCTCCAAGGAATTTGTGGGACATGCGTTGCAATTTCATACGCATACCTGCGCATACATGTAGACTCTGCATGTGGACCGTTCCGAAAGACATAAAGATCATAGTCCATGGCCAGAGACAGCGCTCTGCGCAGCCCATGGTGTGTCCCTATCCCATGGCACCCTTCTCTCGAGCTGCACTGTGCTGGTTGGAGTTCCAGTCACGAGGTCTGCGTGAGAAGTGTTGCAGTGGTGTTTGTTTAGCATTGTCCAGCAAATGGAGAGAAGCCCTGCGCGGAGGCTCAACATCTGTGCGGGGTCAAGTGTTTTGCACTGGTCAGGACATCTCCTTTGATGGCCTGGACAAAGAGCTACGTCGGCGAACAACCGCCAGTGCAAAGGATGAGACATAGCTGAGAGGATCTTAAAAAGCCTTGCCATTGCGCGGTTCGGCTTTGCCCTTGGCTTTCTACCATGTGCAAATGGGCATGATGCCGAGGAAGTGTGTCACACTTTGTTGACTGGTCACTAATATGGACAGCCATGGGTGAACACCAGCCGTCATTTTCAGCGCAACCTATGACGACAGGTTGTTGATGTCCTGTACTCTCGGCCGCCTGAAGACAACAGCATCAGTGTGGCCCCTAGGCTTCCGCAGTATGCGCATGCGAAGTGGCTTTATAGTAGAGGCACCCTTGGCTGAGCTGTTTTGAAGACAACCCCCCTGCCAAGTTGCTGCTCTGAACTGAACAAGCTGTGGCAGCTTTTGCTCTTTGCGCAAGGCTGTTGTGGCTTCATAGCATCTGACTGTCGTTAAGGCTTTAACGACTTCATGGCATCTACGCTGAAGAAAGACCAGTGCGAGGAAGCGACCAGCTTGAAAGTTACAAGAGACGTTGCAAGACTTTTTGAGAGCTTGGCACATGTTACCCTGATTTTGCGGGCGGGTGGCTAGAACTGGCATGTGTTCTTTTGAGTTGGGAAGCATTACCTGGCAAAGCTGCAGCAGTGTGTCAAGAGACCCTGTGCAGGACGGCATGATGAAAGCAGCGTTCCGGATCTTTGACCAAGACGCAGATGGGCAAAGCTTGCACTGTTAAGCCAGGTAGCTGGAAGATGGGTTAAACGCTTAAACCATGGTTTGATGTTTGCGGCATCTGTATTAAGAAGCTAGGAACTTGAGACCATCTGCGGACAATGTAGAACAGACATAAGGCCTGGTCCTGCAGAGATAGTGTAGCCAATGCTTCTCTGAACATTCAAGCCCGCAAGCCAGGTGCATAAGTGCCCAAGACATGGAGCGAGTTTTTTGCTGCCACCCCAGCTTGCCGTGCAATCGTTCTTTTGCGGGAGCAAGGTTTACCAAGCCCATTACAACAGCGAGGAACCAAATCATCTAGTTGAAGCAGAGCTGGCGTGCCGGGTGTGCATGTTGGGATAGATTTGCAAACGCATAGCCTCACACTGGTGGATATTGAAGTTTCACTCGTTTAAAGGGTGAAAAGCGCCACCTCGCCTAGCTAGTGCACAAACCGCTATCTTCGCATGCAGCGGGAGGGGTGGCTTTGTGCTTGCGCCTTTGCTGCCTGCTGTTACAATGGAGCTCAGGCAGATCTTCGCAAGACTCGAGCAAAGAGGCTCCTTCCGACGTAGTTTCATTTCAAGGTGGCTTTGGCTGGGCTTCAGACTTGCTCTTTACACATCACAGGCAAGATCAAAAGCCCCATGTGGTCTGACATTCACTTTCTGATGACCAGGGCTCCTGGTCCTGGAGCTTAGACGTCGTAGAGTTTCCCGGGTCTTTGCGGGCTCAAAGATATCCGCGCCGTGCTCACTAAAATTCCTGATCATGGCTGTCTGTAGGCTGTGGCCATTCTCAACGAGGCGTCCATGGGCACCGGAGATCCTCTCCGCTACCAGGAGTTTGCACCCTCTCAACCGCATCATGTAGCGAGGAGGAAAGCCAAGCCGGAGTACAGCAACGCAAGGTTAAGAGGATTCATTGCGGCGACTAGTGAATTCTGCAATCTTCAAGCCAGCCAGCTTGTGCAACATACTGGGCAAGGACTTCGTGAAATTCGTCTCGCGCACGCTGAACACCTGATGATTTTGGTGTCTGGCAAAGAGGAGCCTGAGCTACAGTTTGTTGACCATGGAGGTCCAGCGCACGGAGATAAAATTGCTCAGGCCTGTGTCACCCCGAATACCGGATTTTTTATTTGGTTTCACTCATTTTGAGATCACAAATCGAATGTAGTGGGACCCGTGCTGCGTCGCACCAGATTCAGGCTGCAAGTTCTTTCGATTCTAGAGCCGCTCACTGGCCCAAAGTGGGCCAGACTGTCGGCCCGGACGCAGAAGGGTTTCAGTGCGGAATAGCTGAATAGCTTTAAGAATAGGAGTTGGGCCAGGAGCCGCTGCAGCTTGTTCCATCCTTTCATAGGATACTTAGGAAACATGTTAGCGGTTTTTTGTTGCTTGCTCAGCAGCTCCCATGCCCAAAGCCCCTGACGGGCGCCAATTAGCGCACATCATTACCAAAAACGGAGAGTCCGTGCCGATGATGTAGCGCATGCCATGTCCACTTTGGAAGCAAGTCAGCCTTTGCCTTAGACTGGGGCGAGGGGGGGGGGGGGGGNNACGGGCAGGTCGGCCCCAAAATTGGGGCAAGGTTATTTGCAAGTTTTGTGAGCTGAGCACGTTATGGCTCATGAAGTCGAGCGTCTGATGGGAAACTTAGTTCTTGTTAAGCATAAATTTGTACCGCGCCTTTAGCACATAAAAGAATTCCACGGCAGGCCCTGCATCTAGCACATGGTAAACGCTTTGGACTTGAGAGATCCGTGCTTGCTGAATGGCAAGCCGCCCATGCTGCAAGGCCAATGTTGTCATTGCATATGTATAAAGCTTGGCATGTTTGTGCCCAAGACCTTGCGAGGCTTTATGTCGATGGAGCCAAAGACTTGCTCTTCGGTCGGGCACTTCGTTGGCTGTTTCGTGTTGGCAGCGCAAGCTTTTGAAACTTTGAACTTATGCCCGATGGTTGCACGAGGCATCTTCACAGACCAGCAGGCTCCCTTTGCACGTGTGCACGAAAACGAAAGGGCAGCAGGGGTAGCACGGTAAATTCGTTACATGGGATATGAATGCGGTCCAGTGGGCTTTGTCAGGGTTGCAATCATGGTGCAGATAGCAAGGTTTGCTGCTGCAGAGACAAAGCAACATGACTTGAACGTGATTTCAGGCCTTTTGCTGCCCATGAAGAAGCGTGGCTGGGCTTCAGAGGTCGGTTTGCTTGCAGCTTGAAACGGGTTGTCTTCCTGCGTCCTGAATTGCTTCTTACGCGTTCAGCCGTTCAGCGCTGGATTCTAAACTAAGAACATTCGCAACCTGTGGAAGCCAAGGTTGTATTTGCTTTGTAACCTTGTGTTGCACAGGCTGCTGCGCAGACAGGCGGAGGCCTCTCGGAGTGATGGCTGGATGGTCTTTGGGATAGGACAAGGATTGAAGCAGACAGTCCAGGAAGAATATTGAAAGATGTTGGCGGATTAGGGCCGGTATGAAGCAAGATTTTATCGTTAGTCGCCCAGGCGCCACGTCACGCGAGGCCTTGACTTCTTTGCTGCAGGACCGCGTTGTTGGTTTGATCCAAAGGTATGTGCGGATGGCCTCCCAACTCTGTTCTCAAATGCTGGTTTTCAACGAGATGCCCACAGTGTGCAGGAATTGCATCGGCCTACGAAGCCCGTGGAGACCGAACAGGCTATGGGCATGAAGAACCTTTCAAGTGGGCAGAGGAACACAGAAAGTTGATACCAAACACGCAGGGTAACCACTGAAAGCTAGTGACAGGTGCATCCAAAAAACAACAGAATGATTTCAAAAACCTGGCCCTGCCATCTCAGCAGCGGAGGCGCTGCAGCAGCGTCAGGAAGAGCTAGAGGATGCTATGCCAGCCCTGCAGGCCCGGCCAGACGAAAGAAGTGGAGACTTGGGGTTGTGTTATAGTCATCTCTTAGGGTGTGTAAAGTTGCGTCAGGTGAGAGCTGCATCATTTCACTATGCCCCATGATGTCGGATGAAGCGATTGGCAGCGATCAGTTTTTGCTTCCAGTTGTGACGTCTTGTTTTTTGCCGATGCATATTAGGTGAAAAGGTAACATTGTTGGGTTTCCCGGAAATGTTACCCGGATGGCTCATGCCACGTATTGACCCTCTATCCCGCATCGGCTCCCGGATCCCTTGAGGGTTTGTCACTGCCAAAATGACCGCTTTGCCGTACGGACTGCGGGGGATGAGCAGAGATGATATTCACGGGTGATAGTAGGAATAGCAAATTTCTAAAGCCAGATCTAAACAATGAAGATCAACGGTAGCAGCCAGGCCCATAGCAATCCCAAAACTTTTTGTTGCAAACGCTGCCGGCCTAGCATGGATTAAGAAATGGCAGTCGCAATTCTCGCTTCGTCAAAAGGCCCATGCATACATATAGGCGAGAGGCAGGCTAAAAAACCAAACGTGAAGAAGAGACCCACTGAGGACTTGTGTGGTACGTCTAGTCTTTCACAATCCTTCCGCTTTACAACTAAAAAGATTGCTGCTGGTATATTAGCTGTTGCAAAGCCCAGAAATCCTTCTTGCCAGCGCTTTTTGATCGGCGGGGAGTTGCCAGAGCGGCTGGTTCTGCTCCGGGCCGTGGCCTGGGACTTAGGCGCCAGCTTGGGAAGTCAGGGTGCCTGCGGAGGGACACGGATTATGAAAAAAAAGGTTTATGAAGCAGTGACCAGCTTGCCCATACCTGAAACCTCCAAGCGTCCGGAGCCCTCGAGAGATGTGCAAATGACATAGGGATTTCACGGTTCGAGGATTGAAGGTTCGTTCAGAGGATTAGCTTGTACAAGATCACGACCTCCTGTGGGACCGTGTGTTCAGCATGTATGCAAGGAGCTCCAGATGCTAACTTTCATAACGCAATTTGCAGAAATCTGTTTATTGCTTGTTCAAAGCCATCGCTACATAAGCAGGCGCGTGACAGCTCTGATGGACAGACGATGGCAGAAAGTACTCAGTTACTCGCCTGAAAGTACGCAACAGATTTTCAGCACCGATTCAACTTCAAATTTAAAGGACTCCTTCAAAACATATGCTTGCCATCTAAAGTGAATAGGATGGCAGCTGCAGCATTGTTACACATTGTTACCGAAAGAGCCGGATGCAAGGCCGATCTGGGCACTGTGCCCGGCAAACCGTACTCCTTTGCCTTGCTGCTCCTGGTTTTCTTGGAGGCCAGCTGACAGCATAGCTCAGTTCTTGTCTCCGTGGACAAGCAGGTGGTCGACGAGTGGCCTTGGCCTGATTTCATTTTCTGCCTGGGAGGAGTACTTGAAAATGATTGAGACGCTCCGTGACGGCGAGACGATCTCGGATCGAGCTGCCGAGCTCCGCGAGGAGGGGCAGTTCGGGATGAGAAAGAACTGCACGTGGCCCCATGTGGTTACTTCATCGCGCATGCTTTGATACTTGGTCTCCCATTGTCACTTGACCAGTGAGCTCTTAATGAAAGGGCCCACAGCTTTCAGAACCCCATCCGCCGCAGGTTCTCCTTTGCTTTCACCGTGCTGGGCTGGCTCCGGATCGCCTAAGGCTGCTGTACAGCCACATCGTGCTTCGTCTATTCAAATCCGAGGGGCTATTGGGTGGTAATGGCAACCTAGGATTAATAAACCCC